CGCCGGCAACTGCGCGCTGTCCCCCCCTCCCCCCCTCGCCAGGCAATATCGATCGCTGGGCGGTCACATCTCGCTACGCGCTCGAATTGGACAGTGGGCAGGGCAAAGACGACGATTTTCGATAATTTTTTTCTCGTTAACTATTGCGAAAATTGCAAAATGTTTCAGGACTTTTCTGTTCATCTCGATCCGTTCTACCTTCTCACGAGCTCGTGGACAAATGTTATAACTCACCCTGTATACATATATAGTGCCTCAAAAGGTTTGGTCTTATATGTATGTACACACAAGTTTAATAATGCATGTCAATGATGTACCTAAATATAATATAATTATAAAATACTTTTCTAACATATTGATATCGTAGCAATAATGGAAGCAATGTCTGAGGAATTACGTGTGTTAAGTAACGGAAAGTCCTCTGTTCAATTCACTACTATTTATCCGAGTCTCGTGTATACCGGAATAGTTAAAAAGGTGAAAATTAGGTAATTACAATGATACCACTATTGTGATAAATGTTTTTCAATGTCACGCGCTCAGATGATTCTTTTTGTAAATTGACGTATTGGAAATTAAATTTTTCTTTCAATAGTATCGTATTTGTTTTTGTAATAGACCTTTTTATACATCAACAATGTCATTTATAAGATATCTGTGTCATTTATTAGTGGTAAGTGATTTAATTTTATTTATCCATACAGGTTTCCACGTTTAATGGGAGGAATTTCACCGCAAGAAGCAGCCTCATTAATAATTGACGCACAAAGAAAAAACATGTCACACAAAAGCTTACCTTCAATTTTGCTACTCTTGTCTAGACTATTACAGTATGTGAATCGTGCAAATAGAAATTTAATTTAATTTATATATAATTTATATAAATATATATGTATATAAATTAATTATAATTTCTATATAAAAATCAATACTAATAATAATTATAATAAACTTAAGATATTTTGAAATATACAACAATGAGCCGCAAGGCAATTCATTATAAATATGTTAATAAGATGAATACTGTTATATTATACTATATGATCACTATTTCTTTCTCCTTCTTCTATGTTTTTAATAAAAGAATATTTTTTATTTCAGATATTTACCAGACGAGGCACACGGGGCCATACTGGACTTCTTCGATACAGGTGTCTATCCAGACGATTAAAAAAAATATATATAAAAGAGCTAAAATAAACTTATATAACAAATAAAAAATATGTAAAAGAGCCAATAAACTTATATACATTTTATAATACAGTTTATTAAAAGGTTTGACTATACTTCAGGAGCGCACCGAGAAGACACCTTTTCAAAAGCAGCTTTTTAATAGAAAGCAATAGGTATTCACTGCGGTCATATATTAAAAAACTGCGTGGCCTTGAAGTTGGTTATTCGCTTATCATACTGTTACGACATAAGTTGTTTTTAACACAAAGAAAGACGAGAACCAAGACACAGTGGACCGAGGACTCGGATAGGGGACCTGTTCCGGCACGAGAACTTTTAGGATTTTTATTAGAAAGTCGTTTTACTGTAGCCTGTCGAGGACGATTGACTTCTCATGGATCGTATCGTATTTTGACCGTAGCGAACATAGATTCCTATTAAAAAAATTGTTTTATAGTCTCCTCTCGTTACATTCTTGAAGCGTAGCTCAAACTTTTTTGGGATATTCTATAGAAGGTACAATTTTGTAATTCAAGATATGAAATAAATTCAGAATATAAAATTTTTTACATACTAGACATTATTAAATTAAAAAAACCATTGAAAATAAGCTGCAAAAGAATTACATAAGAGTTTTTAAAAACCTGATATTTTTATCTGCTTTCTTTTTCCTCGTCTTTATCCGCAAGGATATTAACTTTAAAATAATAATGAATAACATTAAAATTTTTAGACAAAGCAGATATTATTAACGATAAGAAAATTAAATTAGGAAAAGACAAATTCTATATGCAAAAATAAAAGTTGAAAATATCGAACGAAATCTTATTGTATAGGGCTTTGCTTCCGAGAAAATTATTATTATATATTTTTAAAAAGTATCCTCGTATCACGTTATTGTATGTACACATTTTTTACTTCATTATTATTTTATGTACATACATTTCAAATTTAAACTTTCTCTTTGTTTTGCTACTTCCCATTTCTCACTTAATTTTTCACTTACGACAATTCGTATAATGTTTTTGGTAAAATTTATTTAAAGTTGAGACCATCTTAAAAACACGCGCGCGCGCTTCGTTGGATTTGAGCAAAAGACATGACGAAATATCACATAATCGAGACTAAAAGGATCCAAGGTCAACAGACGGTGAACCTACTAGGCATGCATTATAGAAAGATCTATAGTGAAGCTGAAGACAGTGCAGGCAGTGAATTTTAGAACACAACCGTTATACGAGACTCTAATTCTCGAACTCACGCGAATTTGTTCGCACATAAAATCATATTCCGTGTAGTGTGATTGGTTGTTTAAACGCGGGTCGTAAAATTCAATTTACGTGAACGCGAGTCTCTGAGATTTTGTGTAAAAATAAAACAAATTTAACTTTTAACGTTTTAATTTCTTTATATTATTAACGTAACTTTTAATTAAATTAATTTCGTTATGGATTAACTTGTATCATAACTAAGTTAAATTTTCAAAGCTGTTAACTTCATCTTAATTGACTTACAATTAGTTAAAACATATATATAACCAACCTCACCCAACCCTGTGATAAATACGACTTTTTAAATAGGTACGATCCTGAGATAGCAATACATTTTCTGGGTTTAAGATTACACGAGATCGATAGACCGTTCCAGGATACCCATGAGAATACATTACAGCAAGTAACCTTTTCTTTTATTCAGACATTAATTTCAAATGAAAGATAAGACAAGCTCATGCGAAAATATAAACAACCTATGAAGGATATCCGTTAGCTAGCCAGGTAAAGGTCTCTACAGGATGTCCCAGAATTTTAACTTGGACAGTAAAATATCACAAAAATTAAGCCCAGCAAACAAAAATATTTCAGACAAAAATTTTTGTGTATTGTAACTTGCACAAAATTTACACACACACAAATTTTCACTAATTGGAGCACTATTGCAACAGCATAATTCTGAGGCCAAATCAAGTAAAAAAAGTCCTGCACTACTTTTCCCTCCGATAAACAGTTATCGAGATATCATAAGCTAAACATTGAAAAAGTTATAAGTTTTCTCTTGAAGATCTCAAAAAGTACTAGGCAGATTAACAAATGTTTCAGACAAAGTTATTCATATTAATTAGTAGAATAAGATAGTATAATAAACAATAGGGAGTTCCATTTAAAAAATTGAAGATAATTTTCGCGTGATCTTCAAGCAACTATTCAAAGTCAAACTAATGGTACCATCTTATGTCCCCCTCGAAACCATACAACTTTTGTCTGAAACATTTTTGTTTGCTGGGCTTAGTTTTTGAGATATTTTACTGTCCAAGTTAAAATGGAATACCCTGTATAATCAGGCAGGTATAGCCGACGTGTCCGCAGGCGTGTTCGTCGGTTTTCGCTTTCGTTGACGCGAAGAAACGTTCCACTTAGTAGTTTCGTGCGCTACGTCGTAGAAAGACGTCGTTTAAGCGTCGCGATCACAAACATTCGAATATTGATACTTGCCCGAGTAAGTTTTCTTCGTTAAGTGGTCAGTCTTATATTCACATTTCTAGAAATTAAGTTAAACGTTTGCACATTTACTGAGTGAAATGGTCATCGGACAGTTGCTAAGTCGGAAAGTGAAATCGAACAGCTGCTATTTCTTGAAGAGTTAGAAGAGAATGGATAAAATTATATGCGCTAACGCTAGATTGAAGAAGAAATCTGTTATTTCTGCTTTTTAAATACCGAATAAAAAATTTTCATAGAAATGTCTACTGTGCCGATAACATCCGAACGTAATAGCGTTGAATGCAACCAACTGTATTTTATAATTAATTCTTATGTTTCTGTCTCTACATTATAAATATTTGCGTATACTTTTTATTATAACACTGACAACAGTATGATAAATGAGTTTACAAAGTGTTGCAACCATTCATTAACACACATTTAAATTAATGTTTTTAGAATCTTATGTACATGTCCAAAACAATGTGTCAATAATATATTTGTACCGCTGAGATCACCTGTTAATTATTATTACATAACAAATTCTTAAAATTTGTTATCATCAATATCACTTATTTTACGATACATTTAATAACGCGCAGAATTTTACCTTTTGCACTTATACAAATGACAAAATCATATATTCCAAATCAAATATATTTCAAAACACATTAGTGTTTTGTAATGTAGTTTTGTAATTGTGTAAATGTAGAGACAGAAACATAAGGATTAATTTTCTTCAAAACGTGGTGAAACATTTTGACTTTTCAATAAATCTTCTATCAGTTTTTAAAGTTATACCTTCAGTTTTATTATTATTCATCATACACGGCTAATATGCGCGCTATATATACACTAGAAATACAATTTATACAAGAAAATTAATAACTTTTCAGTTTGCCATGGATGCGCTCAAGATTATAGAAATTTTGATAAATCTGTTGCGGCTTGCATTGGAAATTCTTTTCGACATTTGCCAGAGCGTTTACTATAATTGTGTCGGATCACGGGAAAAGAATGTAACTGGAGAGATTGTTTTGGTACGTATGAAAACTTTGATGTACTATACACTCTAACATGGCAGGTAAATAATATTGAAAGTTTAAAATAAAAGATATCATTACATTAAAAAAGTTATAAGTTTTCTCTTTAATATCTCACAAAGTATTAGGCAGATTAAAAAATGTTTTAGACAAAAGTTGTTCATATTAATTAGTAGAATAAGATAGTATAATAAACAATAGGGAGTTTCATTAAAAGTATTAAAGTTGACCTTCATGTAACATTCAAGCAACTATTCAAGATCAAATTAATGACACCATCTTATGTCCCCCTCGAAACCCAACAACTTTTGCCCAAGTAATTTTTTGCTAGTCCCCTTCCCCGAAGAGATACCTGTATTTGCGTGGATCACTTAAAATGAGACACCCTGTATATATGAAACAATGAGAAATAATGAAGAACTTTTCATCTTAATGAGTAACAAATAAGTGTTGATTAAAGGAAATTATGTATGTAATGTTAATTTAATATGATGTTAAAAATTGTGTTAAAATAATGTTGAGATATTGGTAAAATAAACGTAATTGGTAAAATAACGTAATATCAAAGATTAATCCTTGATGATATCAAATAATAATATAATACGCTTTATAAAGAGCAAAGAAATGTTTATCTCTAACTAAGTATGTTTTATATTATGTTTCTTTATATTTATAAGATAACAGGTGCAGGTCACGGTATAGGAAAAGAGTTGGCGATTCAATATGCGTGTTTGGATGCGAAAGTGGTGTGCTTAGATGTGAATAAACAGACAAACGAGGAAACGGCAAAGGAAATTAAAATAATGGGAAAAAATGCGTACACGTATCAGTACGTTACTTTCACATTAATTTCTTAATAGTTTCCGGCGTCGACTACAGTTTAACCTAATACTTTGATATCAAATTAGCAATTGGACAATAATTTCATTCCGCTGCACGAATATATTCCATATTATATTATTATTAATTCTATCAATATTATTAATTATATTAAGTATTATCAACAAAATTCTTCTATTAGCAAAGAGTATACCAAATCTCTCTCTCTCTCTCTCTCTCTCTCTCTCTCTCTCTCTCTCTCTCTCTCTCTCTCTCTCTCTCTCTCTCTCTCTTCTCTCTTCTCTCACGCTCGCTCACTCACTCACTAACACACACTCGCTCACTATTATATTAACATCAGCATAAGAAATTATTGCAATATTCATAGTACGACATATATTCGACATTAACCAAGACATTATCATTTCTGTAGATGTGATGTAACAAAAAGAGAAGACGTTTTTGCAGTGGCCAAAAAAGTGAAAGAAGAAATCGGCAATGTCACAATTTTAGTTAACAATGCCGGTATAATGCCATGCCGTACCTTGTTCGATTACACGCCAGATGAAATCACACGAATGTTCAACGTTAACGTACTAGCACACTTTTGGGTAAATTAGAATTGGCTATATATAAATATTAAGTTCCTTTTTGTGAATAAATGGTGATATTTTAATTGTTTTATAATTCTGTATTCGGCACAATTACCTGATAATTGGGAATTTCTGATAACTAGAAATCTTATTTCTCAAAGAATTTAACTTCAATTATTATCTATTAATGCTACTAAAAATATTCAAAATGTGATACACATAATGTTACACACTCACGTAAACTACCACGCGATTTTTTTCAGACATTACAAGCATTTTTACCGAGTATGATAGAAAGAAATTATGGTCACGTCGTTGCGCTTTCATCGATATCGGGCATTGTGGGACTTCCCAACTTAATTCCTTATTCCGCTACAAAACATGCAGTACAAGGTGAGCCTGATCTGCTTATCTGTTCGATTATTTAAATATATTCAGAATTAAGTGTATGCAGAATTAAGTATTGCATATTTGCGAACTAGAATATTAATAATTTAATTTCAATGAATTTATAAGTATTGTGCTTCAAAGTTACGTATATACTTCTTTTCAGGTTTAATGGACGCACTTGAAAACGAATTACGATTAAATAGCAAGAAAAAATCTTTAATCAACTTCACCACTCTCTATCCTTACATGGTAGATACGGGACTTTGTAAAAAGCCAAAAATAAATAAGATGTAAGTGAAGTTAATATAAACAGATAAATACAATCACAGACCCAAATGACAAACTCGGTTATTAAGACTAATTATCAGCTGATTATCAGCAACGCTATTTAATTTCGCTCCTAGGTTAGAGACGTTTTTACTCCCAAGCTCAACGAAAGATGCTGCTGCACAAATAATTAGAGCGCAACGACAAAATATAAGAAGAAGATCTATACCATCATTTTGGTTACATCTCGTTACATGTTCTAGGTAAAGTACAATATTTATATGTTTTCTTGTGTAAAGTTTTAAATATGATTTTTATATTATTACATTATGCAACATTTAATATATCATACACATAGTAGTATTTACTTGCATGCATACATTTACATACATATGTCTTAAACTGTGACACCAAATACTTGAAAGATATAC